CCCAAAAAAAAAAAAAAAAAAAAATGTTGTCTATTGCACATGGCAGTCAGTTGGCCAGTCAACAAACATTATGCCCAACTATGTGCCAGGCAGGCACTATGGCATAAAACTCAGTGTAGTATTGACTGGATAATCATAAATGTAATTAATTGGCTCTACAATGGAGTAATGTATAGAGGGCTATGGAAGCACTTTTTTTTTTTAAAGATCTAACCTAATCTTGGGGTCAGGGAAGTTTTCTCTGAGAAAGTCATGTCTATTTACACAGGAAAAAGAATCAATTATACCTGAGTTAACTTAGTACTTGAGAGGCCAAGTACTTGGGGGGAGCAAAGCATAAGAGAGAGTGGTTAACTGCTCCCTGAGTGGCTGCAGCATTAACAAGCCACCCCAAAACAAATGAAATGAACATGATTCTGTAGGGCAGTGACTTGGCCTGACTCAGCTGGCTGATTCTTCTGGCATCTAGCTTAGGCCCTCAAGTCGCTACTGTCAGGTAGTGGCTCAGCTGGGGCTGGAAGGTCTAGATTGGCCTCACCTGTGTTTCTGGAGCCTCTCTCCACTTGGTCTCTCCAGCAGATAGCCAGGCTTGCTTACATAGTGGTGAAAAGGTTCCCGACAACTTTTTTCAAGCCATGTTTGCTCATGTCCCATTGGCCAAAAGCAAGTCATAGAGCCAAGCCCAGATTCAAGAGGTGGAGAAGCAGACTCTGCCCCTCGATGGGGAAGAGCTGCAAAGTATTTATGGCCAATTTCTGCAGTCTGTCACATATAAGCTAACAGTCCCTAATAAGGACTATAGCCATTATTTAATTCAACAAATCGTTACATACAAGAGCAGAAAAGCCCAGACAACCAACTAAGTTTGACAGCTGTTTACTAGAGTTCAGCTTCCTTGTTCTTTCCTCATGTCTGCTGGCCTAACCAGGTCTTCTCATGCTTTCAGGCTGCAGGATGCGCCCATGGACAGCCTGGTCAGAATGCACCAAACTGTGTGGAGGCGGGATCCAGGAACGCTACATGACTGTAAAGAAAAGGTTCAAAAGCTCCCAGTTTACCAGCTGCAAAGACAAGAAGGAGATCAGAGCATGCCATGTCCACCCGTGTTAACAAGGGTACACATTTCCCAGGGATGCACTCTAGACCCCTCAGAGTCACCAATGGCTGGATTGTTTGTTTGCTTGTTTGTTTAAGGCAATTTAAATCGTGTACACTAGTTTTCATTTCTGCAGTGTGGTCTGCCCAGTAGTCTTGTGGATGCCAGGGACATCCTTCTGTACACTTCTTGGTGGGCACAGACTGAGGGGGTGCTCCCTCATCCTCAGCCAGCCCTCAGCCAGCACCAGTAGTGTCAGCCACCTGTACTGAATGGAAACGTGTCCCTCTGGAGCACCCACCTGGGTGGCAGGAAAGAGACCCCGGCCTCCTGCACACGGAGAGGCAACTGTCTGCAGATGACTCTGTGCCTGGTGCCGGGGCGCAGCATGGGGGAGACAGTCCCCGTCAGGTGGAGTGCAGAGTCCCCTCATTCTCGTCTGGCCTGCTCCCTCTTGCAGGAAACTATTGTTTGCTCGTCTCTTCTCATTTAGTGGAACTTTAGGGCCCGTTGTTGAGTCTCCTCAGTCACCAACAGTTCTTGGGGAAAACAGCTGGCAGACATGAAGAGAAGCACTGATGGTGGGTGGCTTTTCTTCTTTCACCGAGAAATTCGTATGTATCTCAACCCCTAATTTTGGTTCTTGATGCCCCAGAGGAAAGAAATGATGGCTGCTTTATTTGAACATAAGGTAACCAGCTCTTACACCTGAGGTAAAAGGTACTAAGTCTAGAAATCATTTTTCCCTTCTTTTTGGGGTTTTTTTGGACACAATTCTCTTAGGAAGCCAGCCTCATGAAACTTCTGATGTTAGATCCTTACTAGAACCAAGGCCAAGGCAGCAGTCCCAAACCTGAGTTTTTAAAATCTTCCGACACAGACTTTTAAGTAAGTTCTCAAACCAGTTTTTAACAAGAAAACATTTTTTCAGTTATGCAAACATTTTGTTAAATCTGTCTGCAGCCCACCAAGCCAGTCCTTCAACAGAAATACTATCTATCTCTGTACTTGAGGGGGGTTCTTAGAAAAAGTGTTTCAGAGGCCAAGAGAGACGACAAATCCAGGGAGAAAGGAATGTTGCAGAATCAAGCTTGGCCGTAAAATCTGGTGGGAAGTCAAACCTATGTCAGCCCTCCACACCAGGGGTCTGGTCCTCTGACACAGCCATAGGGAAAG